AGTTAAGCAAGTAATCACATGATTGGACTCTTTTTATTTATTAAAAGTACTTCTATACTGTGACATTTATGATAACTTTTACTGCAATAATTAAGCAAATCACATCCAGCTTCCCCTATTGACTTTATTTGTTTGAAGGTGACTGGCAAGCTTGCAAATCGTAATCACTTGACTGCAAGATGCTAAAACCATTGTACATGCAAGCCAATTGCCAAGCATCCAAAACACAATCATGTGATCACAGGGGCAGTATGATGGTCATAACATCAAAGACAGATCATAAGTCTCTTTTTTTCAGCACCATCATAACTTTGAACTATCATTGAATGCATGGTCCTAAGTCAAGGATTACCTGTATTTTATTCTATAAACACTACCAAAATCTACATAAACAGCTAGATGTTACTTGGATTGTACCATGACAAATTTAAGTCAGAGAATCTTTAGCACATCTGAGTTTACCTTTGGATCATCTCCAAACTGCCCAAACTGAACATCATTTAGTAAACTACGAGCTGTTTTGATGATATCTTTACATTTTTTGGGTGTTTCTTCAACTTTTCCTGCTAAGAATAGGCAGCAAGCTCCAGTCACCTATTAAAAATATATTTTAGAAAGCCATTAAAGTACACAAGGCCTATATATTTGATATTGGTGACCATAACTTGGTCTAATTATTTCTGCCAGTAAGACCTAATAAACTAAACAAGAATCAAATAGCTAAGATTCATTTGTTATATTATTTCTATATTATTTTACTCTAATGTTAACCCCAACCCTAACCCCTAACCCTAAAGTTGCATTTGTTTTTGATTTACAAAACGAATCTTCTCTGGGAAAAGCAAGACATACTACTGTTTTGTACTGGAGACCTGATTCAGATGGTATGCATTAACATATTCAAAATAGGGATTATACAAAATGCTAATCTACCTTCTCCGCAATGCGTTTTAAATCCTACAGGAGCTACAATAAACAATATGCAAATAAATAATTGCATATTCCTCCCCCTTTATTTCTGCCTCCAAGTCCTTTAGATTCCTGCAATGTATTTTATTTCAGGGCTGTATTTTTTTGGTTCAGTTATTTTTTTTTTTGTGAGGCATTAGACAGCAATTACATACTGTAAACCAAAAGCAATGTAAGCACTTACATATCTTGGGAATTGTTTGAAGGAATGGAACATATAAAACCGATGGAAATATATTATTCCAGTTGCCAGTGTATCATAATGTCTGAATACAGGATAGGAATGTAACATATTTAGCTCAATTTCAACTATAAATATTATAAATGAATAAAACTGAATAACAGACCAAAGAGAGCAAGTCAGGTGTTCTGATTAAAGAACCTGGCTAAAAACTGTGAGACTGTGAGATCTAGTTTTGCCTTAGGCATGAAAGCAGCTGAGTGATCTTAGACCTAGGCAGCTATAGGAAGAAGCCAATGGCAAACCACTTCTGAAATCTTGCCAAAGAAAACTGCAGGGATTAGTCCAGGCACTTACACAAAGTCATAAAAATAATAGCATGGAATTGTTATGAAGTAACTAAAATTATTTATTTATTAAATTTATTGGCCGCTTATCTTATCACAAGGAAAATTAATGGATAAAAATAGCACACTGAAATCAAATTACAAGTTCAGGTGTTTGAGAATACATTCCTAAATTAGTTGTATACATCATAAGTAACGACATATAAAATATGACTAACTACTTTGCATAAATACAGTTCAACAGATCAATAACATTACTATTTAATTATTAAAATCAACCTAAGTTTAGCATTTGAGCAAAAATACAGAAATGCTAAGGAAATCATGTTCCAGAAGTTACATTATTTGATTGGCATAAGACACTGGGTTAAACTAGTTAGAGGATTATAGACTGCAAACAATAAGAAATTGTAAATTAAATTAAGATTTTGTTATTGAAAAATATATTTTTACCAACAAATTAAAACTTAAGATTTCTGTGAAAACACTATTATTTGAGCATCAAGTAAAATATATATTATGAAATCTTAATCCTACATACTATACCATAGATAATCTTAAAAGGATACAATCCCAAACGGGTTCCTACATCAAATATAAACCGGGCACCTTCTCTTCTGTATCTTGCCTCAGTAGCTGGATCAAGTCCCTCTAGCTGTGATGGTGTATGTGCCAAGTCCTTCTTATCCCAATACCAACATGGTTTTGTGTGGTCCAGGTTTGCCAAAGATACAGAGGGACTAGAGTTTTCTTTGTTTTCCTTCATTTATCAATACAGAATAATTTTAGTAAGACAGGTTTTCAATGTTTTGTTTTTCATGAGACTTTAGAACCTATGGAAAAAATAAATCTTGATCAATGAGGCTCTAATTCAAAACCCAACACGTTTTCAGGCATTTTTGTATGCTACTTTCTAATTCCTAGAATCCATGAATTTAGTAAGCATTTTTTAATGTTCTAATCTTATTTCTTCCATTTTTATTCATTTATTATTTAAAGTTTATTGCGCCTTTAAAAAAATGTTTTATCCCCCCTTATTTTATTTTATAAATAAAATGAGGCAGCAAACATATCTTAGTCTCCAGAACCTACCTAATTCTCCAGCTTCCTGTTTTCCCTTCAATAATCCTGTGAACTGAATTAGACTGAGAGAAAGTGACTGGCTCAGAGTCACCCAATTGCCTTTTCATTGCTCTTCAATCTCTCAAGATAGATAGCAACAAATAATAGTGCCATTGTTTTGGAGAACACCTGACCTGCTATGGTTACAGAAATCATTCACAGCCTATTTCCTTAAGTTATATTGACAGTGAGCTACATGATCAACTAAGTTTCCAACAAGGTAGGATTTTCTAACTACTACTCAAGTTATCAAACAGCCAAATGAAATGAGACTCAGTTTGTTCTTTACAGTTTTGCTATGCAGAAGTCAGCAAAGTGAAATTTTCACAGCATACAACAAAATACGAATCAAAATGCCCTACAAGTTCAGTATAGTGGTTAAGTATTGGTCCTGAATCATTCAGGATTAAGTCAATCCTTGGTCATGATACACTGAGTGACAATTCTATCTCAGACAAAACTATCTTACAGCTTTCTATGAGGATTAAAAATCAAGGAAAATCACCATTTAGGAATCTTGAATTCCTGAAGAAAAGGTTTGATGCTAATCTAATAAATATATGTAACTGTAGCAAATCAATGTTAAATCTTATGTTGGAAGTTATAACCATCCCCTCCTAGAAAAATGAAATATTTTAGGATGTACTAAAAAGGCAGAATATTTCCCCTAAAAGAGAAGTAGAAACTCAGAGGCAGAAACTCACCCCCTCACCCACCTTTGTTAATGAGCCATTAAGGCCTGCTCAGAGTATTCTACATAACAAAGATCTACCTCCTTCAAGCAGAGCCATAATAGGAATTGCCCTAAGCCCTTTCATTACATCATCACTCAGCAAGGCTCAACCAAGCCTGAGATTCAGGATAGCCTACAGAGTTGCCCCTGCATGGCCCCATGGGAGTTTGACAACCAATCAGAATACAAGCTCAAATTCAAATCCCAACAGGGTATAAAATCCAGGGACTCTCAGCATCTCTTCCCTTTTCTCCCAGGAGCTCCAAGGCATGTGATCCTGTTCATCAATAAATCTTTCCAAGCAGCCTCTTTGATTCCAGTGCCTTTTTTCCCACTTGGAACTGAACCCAGAAGGATATTTCTTCCAATCCTTACTTTGGAACTAATTTAAAAAGTGGTAAATATGAATCCTAAATTAGGTAACTCTGATCCAGTAACTACATAAAATCCAAGAAATGTAATATAAGGTTCATATACTACGCTCATCAAAATCAAACTAGCCACTTGTATACAATGCTTGAAACAAGCTCCATTCTCATGTTATTTTGACCTGAAAATAGCAGATTGCCTCCACTTTCCAAAGAACAGCACACTAAAATAGCCCTCCCATTAACTGCTTTACAATTCTATAATTTTGGCCCATATTAAAGCCAAACTCTCAAAAATTATCTAGTATCAATTACTAGGCAAACACTTCCCATTTTATTCATTTTATATCCTGGATAAACGCGCACACATTTCACTGTCAAGTCAGGTTTACTTATTTAATAAACTTATCAAGAAAGACCGTATTTACTTATTCTTTTAAAAAAGTTTGTTTACGGCCTATTTAACAATAATTATTTCCGAACTGCTGCCTTCGTATTTGAAAGTTGGGCTGTAACTTTCCAGAAGGGCTCTTGGAAAGTAGAAACATTTCTTTCCGCCCCTTCATTTAAAACGAATTTTTATCCATCCTTCACCGGAGCCGCTGCCATTAATTCATCAAAGACTTCCTACATTTCAACCTCAGCATCTCTGTCATTTTGATAGTTTCAATCATGCAGCTCCTTTCCGTCAGTCACGTAATATTGATGGAACCACTTACGGGGTACGGGTACAACGGAACCCGAAAACAGCAAACCTCAGCCCTTGCGCGACGCCATCTTGCGAAAACCCAATCAAAGTCGTTGCTGACGTTATTGCGTCGGCGCGCGCAAGGTGAAGAGACTTGATGACGCCGCCTCAGAAAAGCGCATTGATACAAGCCGCGAATGAAAGCTCCGCTGTTTCTACTGACCGCCCCTCCCCCGGTAAACCCCGCCTGCGCGCGAGACAAGATCTGCCATTTCTGTAAAACATTTCAGAGTGGTTGACCAATGGGGAAACCCATAATAGAAAAAGGAGGCGTTGGCTTTAGCCAATGATTTATAAGAAGAATGGCGGGGGAAAAGGGGGGAAATGAGTTACTTTCGTTTTCCCGCCAATCAAAATTTATTATCCCGCCTCCCCGCTAGATATTTTCGCCTGCTCCTTTTTCCTCTCCTTACACGCCCAGTCCTGCAATAGGCGAGCGTGGCCAGGGAGCGGCTTACTGGATTGGTCGGCTGTCCTACGGAGAGGACTGGAAACCAATGGCCGCGACGCAATTCGTGGGCTGGAAAGGGGGGGGGCGGAGCAAAAGGCGAATGAGGGCAAACACAGGGTGTCCGACGGCGAGGGAGTTTGTGTGTGTCTATGCGTGTGCTCCGCGCTTGCGCGCGGAGGTGCCGTGGTTGGTTTAGCGGTCGCCCCTGTCGCTCCCCTTCCCCCCTCCACAACCCGGGCAGAGCCGTCAGGTGAGAGGATTTTTGAGTCCCTTGTCGTCGGTTAAAGGTAACGGGGAGGCCTGTTCTGTCACACCCTCAACTCGTGCAGATTATTTTACAGTGGGCCTTGACTTGGCCCGTTTCTTCCTCGTCCCTGAGTACTGGGGGGGCCCCCCTCTCATTCCGAAGGATCGCCACCTGTGTGCGTTGGACTGGACAGGACGATCCAGACTCGTGATCTCTGCCCGCCTTTCCTCTTCCCTCTCCATACGATCACGCCCACATGGTTCCGTGTTGATTAACCTGGAAGAAGAACCGACGCCTCTCCTTGGTTGTAATCACTGCTCACATTTACCTCATAGTTGCTTTCCCTGAAAGGGCAGGAACCGTTGCTCTTTATGTAGTTAGTATATATGAGATCTTTAGAAAAGCCCAAGAAAACGTATATAGAATTGCAACTTTGTGCAGCCCAAGTTAATCAGTTGCAGTTAAGTTGGAAATGAGCCTCGTCCCTTGCCGTTTGGGACTTTTTCTTCCGATAAAGGTGTCCAGATCAGTAGAGAAATTTTTCCTGCTTCTCCTCAGGGCCCTCACTTTAAAATGTAAAGTTTAGATTGTTAAAAGCATCCGTTTGTTTTCGTTTGTATTCGCCTGTAACCTTCCTTATCCATCCATCTGTTAAATTCTGCATTTCCAAACCGTCTTTCATAAATAAAAGTCTCAATTTACTTGTATCTATCTTGTTATTGATCTTTATAGTTGTATTTCATATTTATGACTTCCAAATATGCCATAATACTCTTAGGCCATCATTATATCCTCACATTTGCCTGTCTATTCTGCCTTTTAATTTCTTCTTTTGTCAGTGACATGCCAATTTTAAGTCTCCTTTTTTACCTACCAGTTCTTTAGTTCTTTAGTCTGTCTTTTTAGTTAATTCACTTTTTCTTTACTAGAACTTCCATCCTCATTTTCTCAAACATCCTTCCTTGATCTTGATGTGAATGCTTTTCTTTTCACTTAACCTTATATTAGTAGTATTTAGTTTCTTTTTGTTCTGTTTATATAATACAGTTACACATCTGGATCAGCTATTCTAATATATCCCATTCTTCATCCAAATGTATACTATGGGTTATCAGTCTTCTACAGAGGTTTTGGACTTCAGCTCCCATTAACCTCAATTGTAGTTTAAAATATTTGGAAAATATTCTAATACTTGCAGTGTGTGATTGAGGTTCATCATAATTTTTCTACTTATCCATTTTGTAGGCTTGTTCACATGATAGTAATGTTTGGATTATTATGTGGTATAGTTTTTATTTTCCTGTGTGGCTTTATATGTCTTACTGTTTCTGAGGAAGAAAGATTGTCCTTAATATAATATTAATTTTTTGATAATTGTTGTAGAAGTGAGTATTTTTAATAAATGGGTTCTCAAATTTTTATGTACAGCATTTATATACAGCATGGAATTACTATTTTTAAATCAATTTGATGGACACTTTGTAAAACCTCTTAATGGAACATTACTAACAGAGAAAAATAGTAAAAATACTAAAAATAATGCATTGCACTTTCTTGAAAAGCATCACTGACATTTTTAAATGAGTGGATTATTTAGTTCATCCCTGTATGTTTTAGTAAGCCTATTTCTTGTTCTTTATGCAATTATGGCATTAAATTTTGCTATTCAATGCTTATGGAAAATAAATAGATTAAGGTTTAAATTTTAGGGATTTTTTTTTGATAATTTAGAACATTTTCTGGATGAAACCAAAATCATAGGAAATTATATCAAGATATGTAAACTGTCCTCTCCTGTTTCATATAAAAAATTAAGATGTGAAGTTGATTTTGGAAAATTATTGCAAATTTATTATTTTTGTTTTTTTTTAACTTATACATTTGGTCAGACTATATTTTTATTGATATAAAGTGATTCACTCAAATCTCTTCATTGTGATGTTTTTATTTATTAAATTTAAATGCTACCCATCTCGCTAGCAAGTGACTATGGGCAACTGATGATGATGATGATGATGATTTGTCATAGACAGCCAGATGTTTAGATTGCATTTGGCATTTTATCCTACTGAGTCCTTTCAAAGGACTTGGGATAGGCAGAAGTTGTTTGATAGTGTTAATGGTATCATCATAGGTTGTAAGCTATTTTTATTAAAGCTGCCTTTTACAATTGACTGATGATTTGCCACTGATATTGGTGTTAAAGTTGTTTTGGGATTGCACTCCAGGCCACCTATTACTATTGGTACTATATTTACTTTCTTTTAACACTGCAGCTATACGTTTATTTACAGGTCTTTGTATTTTGTTATGTTCTCATTTCTTTCTCTCCTAATCTGCTTTCTCTAGTTACTGTCAGTTCCACTATCCAGACTTTTTTGTCTTTCTTATCAATAATTGTCAAGTCTGGGGTATTATGTGGCACGTACTTGTCTGTTTGAATTCTAAATCCCTAGAGCATTTTAGCTTCTTCATTTTCTGTTATTTTGCCTACTTTGTGGTCCCACCAATTCTTGTTTGTAGACAAGTGATACTTTTATTGCAGATTCTCCAGTGCACTGTTATTGTTTTTATTCTAAATTTATTGTGGCCACTCACTCCCATAAACTATGAAACTAATCCTGTCCTATTTTTATCTAATCAACTGGGAGGGGGAGGGATTAAACAAGCAATTAGTGGTCTTTACACATATTCTGTATGTCTTCTCAAGTTCTTCATGATGCAAATAATCTATTTTTACATCATAAAAGATTACTATTCTTACCTCCCTGTGACTTGTCTTAATGCTTGAGTCCAATTCAAGGCAATTTTAATTGACACTATCTGCAGAGAATAAAAATTTCTCACAGTGAAGCTCTAATTATTCTAGTTCCCCTTCTCTAACATCTAATGAATAAAGATATAATAAATGCCATCTATTCTGCACAGGTGTAGTGAAAGCCAAGAAGTGAATTCTTTTTGCAGTATATATTGTACAGAGTACAATAGAATTCTTTATTGGCCAAGTGTGATTGGACACACAAGGAATTTGTCTTGGTGCACATGCTTTCAGTGTACATAAAAGAAAAGATATTTGTCAAGAGTCAAGAATCATCAGCTGCCACACTTAGTAATAGTCATAGGCTTATGATTGCCCCATTCTATGTTCAATTTGATCTATGAAGTTTATAGACAGTGAAGTAAGCTTAACATACTTTTATATGTGAAAAAAGCCATTAACTCTTCTATTATTTCACAGACTTTTTCAAGTTAAGAGGGGATTTAGCTGAGTAACAAACAAATCTGCCATACACTATTGTGATAGAATTAAGAATGTCAATAGAATTAAGATACTTTTCATTGTACAAATATATTGCTGCTTATGAAAGGAAGTTTTGAAGAGACAACTTCACCAATGTATCAGTTACATCAGCCTGAGTACTAATTTTGGATCTTGCAAAATATAGTGACCGCTTTTCCCGCTTAAGTTCCTGCCCTTCTCTGCAATAATAGCTAGGCAATAAATTATAAAATACACTTTAAATCTCTTCTAGATTGAGGGACTATTAGCTAAAAGAAACAAAGCTGAATCTATGTTCTAGGCCAGCATACTTATAATTATTAGTTTCTGAGAACAAACAAAATGGCTTCCAACATGTTGTGTTTTCCATTTTTCCACTAATTGACTGCAGCTGAATTATCAGCATAAATGTATTTCTAGTCTAACAGGAAAACACTTGCCTTCTCAAAAAGGGAACAATTTTGAAACTCTCTTTTAGTTGAAGGAAAATGTTTTTTTTTTCATAGCTTATTTGGTTACCCAACTCCTATTTTCAAATTTCAGTAGTCTTTCCCAATATGATGTCCCCAGATGGGTTGGGCATTATTTTCCAGAATTAACAGTGGCTATGTTTATTGGAATTATGGACGTTGTAATCCAACACATCTGGAGAACATCAGGTGAGGGAAAGTTGCTTTACAGCATTATTTTACATATTTCACTTTATGTTTCCTAATTGTGATCTCAGAATTTCAGTCAGTAGTTTTTTGGAGGGGTTATTGTTACTCAGTTTTGGTGGTATATTGCTTTGTGATTATCAACTATCCTTTGAAGAAAATTTTCTGCAGTGAAACTTTTTCATTTCTTTGAATTAGGTCTCAAGTATGGGGAAAAACATTTTAAAATCTAAGGTTATATTCTTATTCAAATTGTTTACCTATATATCAATTTTAGACTCTGAAAAGCTAGGAAAGGAAATATTGGAAAGGATTGGGGAATTAATTGTGAAAGATTTAGAATAATTAGATGCATATACCAATTTATTTTTATTTTTGTCTTCCCTTTCCATTTGTTTGTTATGAAATGTTAGGTATTACTTGATGGTCTAATTTTAAGTGTAGGAAAGACACAGAAAAATCTTCAGTGTTATTATTCAGTTTATTTGCCATCATAACATTCTTACATGAATTTATCTTATAAAAAACCCATATTTTAATGTACGATTTTCTGGTAACTTTATGAAAGACTATTAATCTTTCTAAATGAAGTGATACTGAACAAAGTATGTCAGTCATATGGCATAATAGTTCACACTACTTATATCGATACTAGAAACAGAATTAATAATTCCATGTAGTAGAGGACAGGTGATATATTGTAAGATGATAATTCATGGTCTCCTTATTGTAATTTTTCATGCTTGGTTTCCTCTGTTCAGTGAGATTCAGATAATTGAAGTTGTTAATGTTCATGAACATCTAGTATATAGAATTGTTTTTTCTTTCTTATAAAAACTATTTTACAAACAATAGTACATAATTTTGAGACTACAGAGTTAGGAAGTATTCAGATTCTTCGAGATAGTAGATAAAAGGAAGAAGTAGAGCTATTTACTCAATAAAATTTCAGTAAGAATCAGTCTCTTTGTGTGCAGATGTGTGTTGAATGCAAATAATGATTAAACCTTGTGATAACATATAGGCCAACAATCATGGGCTGGAGCAGAAATTATCTAGTGACAATTGTGAAGCCTTTCTTCCAAAAAGAATAAGATAATAACAGACAGAAATTATGGCTGATTTATTGAAGCCATTAAAGAGTTTCAAAAGAACCCGTCTATTATATGAGGAATTGTTCAACTCCCTTATTTTCCCTCTGTGTATCAATACTACGTCTGAATTCTGATTGTAATGAGACTATATTTAGTCCTTAGACAATACCGTGGGTTTCTTTGAGACTACTGCCTTGCTTTTCCTCTTGGTATGATCTTGATTAATTGACTATGTCTGGGGAAGGTAACTATGGTGCTGAATTGCCTCCTTTTGTATTTGACCCACCTGAAAGTGGACTGGTGGAGTCCAAACTCTTTGGAAATAGTTTTGTAACCTTTTCCATCCTGGTGAGCATCCACAACTTTTTTCAGAGGTCATCTCCTTTGTTCAAGCCATGATACACTTCTAATATGAATTTGTTGTAAAGATCAACACATGTATGTGGAAGCCATGGTGGTGCAGTGTTCAGAATACAATATAGCAGGCTAACTCTGCCGACAGCTCGGAATTTGATTCTGACCAGTTCAAGGTTCACTCAGCCTTCCATCCTTCCAAGGCCAGTAAAATGAGGATCCAGATGGTTTCAGACATTTGTAAACCATTCAGAGAGTGCTATAAAACACTATAAAGAGGTATATAAGTCTAAGTGCTATCGAACTTTGACAATGTACCTTTGTAGTTTTTGAGATACTATATTTTGAATACTTTCATATTGAAGAAGTTGAATATACATGTTAAACATTCATTTTTGTTTGCTTGATATTTTTTTTAAATTTTCTTTAATACTATCAGTTCTTAAATACATGAGAATCCAGTTGCATTTGGTGGACCTTTTTTGTTTCAAACAGGGCTGTGCAAAGCATTAAAATGGAAGCACATTTTCTTGAAGCATTAAAGCAACTACATCCTTTGCTTAGCCTTTATCATTTTTGCATGTATGTACAGGTAATCCTCATTTAATGACTGGCAATTCTGTTGCTAAGTGATGTAGTTGTTAAGTGAAATATTACTTGACCAGACCAGACTTACGACATAATTTCCTTTGCCATTGTTAAGCGAATCACCCATGGTCATTAAGTGTGACATATGTGCGATTTGTGACTTATTGCCAGCTTCTCATTGACTGCTTGTTGGAAGCTGTCTGTAAAACTCACAAATGGCTATCAAATGATCATAAGTAAACCATGATAAAGGAAGGGAGGAGTAAAAGAAGGGATTCAATTGGATTTTACTGTCACCTTTGTGCTTGGGTTTGATAGGAATACTGTGACAGTTGTAAGTTAGAGGACCAGTCATAAGTTTGAAATTTGCTGAACATGGCAGTCGTTAACTGAAGATTACCAGTTCATGTATAATTGGTTTTCTGGTAGTTTCTATGGAAATTATTTATTATACACACATGCAGAGATGGGCAATCCTCACAGCAGCTTTAAATCATATAACTGCTTTACTGTTTTGAGGAGGTGTACTTTGAAAATCACCTCTTTTGAATGCCCTGCACAATCCTAGAGAGAGAAAAAAACCTATTTTTCATTAAGATTGGTAAGTTCCTGTCAACAATTTTATTGCTACCACTTTTACGTACTTTTACTGCTATTTTGCTGTAACTTCGCAGTAAGTTTTTCAAAATTCATTTAAATCAAATATATAATTTTAAAGTATATTAACCTTTCTTCATTTCCATTTTCTTCTCCCCTTTAATTTGATAAATATATATTGAAAAAGGAACCTTACATATTAATTAAAGAATGATGCTTAACTGTTATTCTCTTAAAGCTAGAAGATGGGGAAAAAAAGCCGAGTGAAAACACAGAAGTCAGGTACTGGAACTACAACAGCTGTTTCTCCAAAGGAAATATTGAATCTGATTAGTGAATTGTTACAGAGTAAGTATATCCTAATTTTTGGCAGGGTAAGGAGTTAATGTCAGAAGAAATGTTACAGAAGAAAAAATGTTCAGTATTCAAACATGGAATCAATGCTTATTTAGAATATATTTGTATTTTTGTTGTTTAGAATATTTTTGTTGATCAATTGCATGTAAGCCTTCTGTTTTCCAGGTTCTGATATTTTAGTCTGAAATATTGAGGGAGATTTTTAGGGTTTTTTAGATTTATACTTCTAGTATTTGGAATGAATAGAATTTATGTATAGAATTTATGTATAACATTTGTATAATAATTTCCTGATGAATATACATATTTGTAGACACACAAACTTACGTTTTTGCTTATGCTTGCAGAATGTAGCAGCCCAACTCCTGGTCCTGGAAAAGAGTGGGAGGAATATCAGCAGATCAGAGCTCTTGTTGAGAGAATTCGTAAAAAGCAGAAAGGTATGTGAATAAAGCAGTAAGACATAGCATTGAAATACTACATTAAATACCAAGGTATTTAATTGCCTTCTGTTGCTCTAAAAATAACAGCTTAAGTAAATTGGTTTTGAAATGTATTGTTCATGTTGTATCTATGTTATATCTTTTCATTGTTCTCAGTTGCCACTGTTGCATTTGTGAAATAGGTGGCCATATAAATAGATTTAAATAAATACATTCCAAGCAAAATCAGAGTCCTTGACTTTCTATGATTGGTGTGGGTTTTTGCCTACATTTCAAAATGTAGTTACATGCTAGGTAACATCTTCTGTGCTAGGAAGAATTGGGTTTGATCTCTGTTTATATACATAGCTTGCCCTATCAGAATTGATAGGAGTATTGTTTTCTCTGTGGCTGTTACTTGATTAGGCTATTGTTTATTGTGTATCCTTAATTTCATCACACATAGGCAGCCTTAACCTTTAACTGGGAAACTGTAAGCATCCTAGACCAGGGCTATTAAACTCCCGGCTGGCAGGCCGGATGCGTCATGTGCTGGCCACACACCCAGGTTAGTGAAGGGGAAAATGTTCTAATATGTCACGTGACGCTGCCGTGACAGCATGAGTTTGACACCTCTGTCCTAGACCAAGCTAAATCCACATACCCTATTGCAGTGGTGACAAACCTATGGCATGTGTGCCAGAGGTGGCACGCAGAGCCCTCTCTGTGGGCACGCAGCTCAGATTTTGAATAATAAACCTTGTTTTGACTGCCTCTGTCTGTGCATACATTACAGAAGTTGTCCTGTCTGATTTGTTTATTAATTCCATGACTGAATCATTGAAGAAATCACACTATCATGGCCCCAAATTAGCAGGGTGCAAAGTTGTGATACTTCTGTATGTAGATGATGCAATTCTTAACTGTTGCTGTCCAATAAGAATTAGGAAGGCAATGAATTCTATAATCCAATACCATACACAGAACAGGTTGGCAATTGCAAAAATCTAAAGTCATGGTCATTATTCCAAAGACCAAAATGCAAACACATTTATGTGTTGGAATGGTTTTCCATCCCAAGGAAACTGGAGGGTCTGTGGGGATTATGTCTCCCATTGATAACAGGTTCTACAATAGTCATCAAGCATTTTTTTTAAAAAATCAGAGGCAGATTAGATTAGTACTAGCAGTGTTAAAACTTTTCCATGCTGCAATGGCCCAAATACTGTAAGGAACCCATACCTCTGTTTTGGGAAGAATGCTCATGTGACACCAGTTTCATCGTAAGTCATGAAAGTCACGTGGCCCAAAAGGCCAGTTCTCTGCAAAAGTTGTAAATCATGTCAAGTGACCATGGAATGGTGCAACTGCTTATAAAGGGAAACTGATTGCTAAGTGCCTGAAATGCAACCAATCATGTGACCACAGGTGTGGGGGGTGGCACATTGGAATTCTGGAACCAAATTGTTAATATATTTTGGGAGGAGTCCATGATAACTTCAAATGATTGCTAAGTGACCAGTCATTAAGCAAGGAATACCTGTACCTAATGTTGAGGTTAATACATTGAGGCTAATGTTAAACCACTAGCTAAAGCTTCAATTCTTCTCTCAAGTTTATGTCCACTAATGGGATGATTTTGATCAAATTGGAGTAATATCATACACAAAAACAAATGATATAAGGGTATCGGCATTCATATGATTCTTGGAGTTTGTTTGAATCAAACATGCACTTTTGCAAAGAGGAAATTATATTGAATTCTATCTACATTTGCCACCTCAGTGTCACTCATGTCGGGGGCACCCGTTCCGAGTTACATTTTTGGCTGCGATGGCCTCCTGCAGTGCTCAGCCAGGGAAAACGGAGCTCAGGAGCACCACGCGTGGCCCTCCCAAGCTCTTTTTTCGCTAGAGGAGCACTGGAGGAGGCTGTCGCAGCCAAAAATGGATCCTGGGAGGGGTACCCCTGACAGGAGTGATGTTGAGGTGGTCACATCCACCCTGACCACACACATACACTCCCGAGGTCAAGCACAATCCTAATGCAGCCCTCAATGAAATTGAGTTTGACACCCCTGAACTAGGCGGAGAATGGGTGCTGTGGAGTGTGAAACGGGAAAGAGGAAAGTGTTGGAGGTGAAAGTGATTTACAGGAACAACTTGCAGTCTTCTCCACTGGCTTCTCCATTGACTTTACTTTTGGGAAGCCAGATGGAAGATCACAAATGGTGATTGTATGACTGGGATACTGCAATCATTGTAAGTATGAGCTGGTTGCTAAGTGCCTACATTGCTCTCACATGATCATGGGGTTGCTGAGGCGGCTGGGACTTTGAAGACTGGTTATAAGTACTGTACATTCAGCACTGTTGTAACTTTGGACAGTTGCTAAATGAGTCATGATTACAACTGGTTACTTTATGATCATTTGGAATTATGGCCCATAAAGCACTTCCAGCTGTCATAAAATGTGCTGCTGCTTCCCTGCAGTGACAATCCAACCATTGATGCCAATACCCCAGCTCAGAAGTACATGTAGTTTACTTGCATATACACTCAGGATGCACTCTGAGTTAGTTACATTTTCCACATAATAGCAGTGATAAATGAATAATGTACATAGGCTTACTAATATCAATTTGTTGTGTATTTTTATCTCCTATTAAATGTGAACACAGGTTTATCTATTATATTTGATGGGAAAAGAGAAGATTATTTCTCTGAATTAATAAAATGGGCCGGAGAGAATGGTGCATCCACAGATGGTTTTGAAGTGGCTAATTTTGCAGAAGAGGGTTTTGGATTAAAAGCCACACGAGAGATAAAAGTGAGTAAAAGATTACTTCGTTTTTATCTTTTTCTACTTACTTATTTCTAAATATTTAATGCTGCTTCGATCAAAATAATCTGAATGGCTTACAAAAGTAATATACCATATAGGTAACCACAGAGAAAAATGTGTGATTCCATTCATATTCATAATTGAATTGAATATACATATATTGATTTGAGAGAGAGAGAGATTTTCGCCTTTTCAGAGATGTCATGCTCCAAAATGCAATTAAAGCCTCATCTATAATGTCTATAATTTTTTAAAAACATTCATTCATTATTCTATTGAATAGAATACAGATAACTTGAGTACAGAGCTATTTATTCCATTAAAACTAGAAATAGTTAATACTGTGATCATTTAGATAAATTAAACCTTTAAATATGAGTTTATATCAGTATTAAATATGATTTTTAAATTTAATAAATTTCAACCATAATTCTTTCACTGTTGTGTTGTGACTAGTTTTTAAAAGTTGTCCATCCACTTTATCATGCAATTTATTTGTTCCTCCTCCATATCATATCTGAATATTTTATATATACTGCCTTAACAAATTGTACTTATTTTGTATAAGTATTTCAAATTCTGTTATATTTCTTAATGTTCCTCCCTCATACTTAACATCAGAACTTATACTTACAATAGTTAAAATAGGTGACTTACAAGCATCTGTTCAGCAACTGTTTGCTTCGACAGCACTGAACTAACAGACTTATGATCCACGCCTGAAATTATGACTGTTGTAGGACTCCTCCAGTCATGTGATAAAAATTCAGGAGCTTGGCAGCCTATGTGCATTTACAAGTGCAGGGCTATTGCATCTCCCACCCATCCCCCATTTGTGCATTTTTGGCCTCCTGGCACAGGTGACTTTCACCATCATCCTCTTGCTCCTGCTGTTCATGAGACATGCCCAGCCTGGCTAGCAGGCTGTATGGGGCTGGCTCCATCTGAAAAACAAAAAAGCATAAAGCACTTAAATGGATTGGAGAGTGCCAAAACACTCCTTTGTGCCATGCTTCTAAATCGTATGTAGCTGGCTTTACACTGTGAAAAAAGGAAAAAAGCAGAAAGCTGCTTTTTCCATTCTGCACAGCAGAACCTCCCCCCCCCCCCAGCACTTTTTTTGCAAAGTTAAACCAATAATTGTTTTATTGTATTATAAAATGCAAATAATATATTATAGAATACAGATGATAGCTGAGAATAATGGTATTTATGCAACAGAAACTGGAAATTGTTAACATGATATTAGAAAAATTATATTAGTGTTAAATATAATTTCTTTTTGTTAAAATTTTTATTGGTTTTTAAAAACAAACATAAACAAACAAAACATAAAAACATCAAGCCATCTTCCATATGTATAAATATAATTATGTTAAATATAATTATGTTAAATACATATGTTAAATATAATTTCTAAAAATGTTAATATAAGATTGCTTAAATTGTACAATTAATGCCAAGTACAACATTTATGAACAATTGCAAAATATATTGAATTGTTTTATTTCATTTCAAATTTAATTTCCAAAATTCTCTGAATAGTTCTATATGTCTTTCCAATTTTGATACATTTCTTGATTTATTACCTATCAAATATACTGTAGATCAGTGGCCCCCAACCTTTTTTGTGCCACGGCCCGGTACCGGCATCACAAAATGATCCGCGGCCCGCTACCGGCATCAGCACGCATGACAAGGCAAAGCGAGCCGAGCGACCGGCCAGCCAGCCGTCCCCCACTTCTCCCCGCCAACTTCAACGCCTCCTTTGTACCTTTGTCAATGGGCTTCGGGACGGTCGCTTGGCTCGCCTTGCCTTGGGTGCTGAAAGAATCCTCGCACCTTAGTTTCGTTCGAAGCCGCCCCCCCCCCTTCGATGAAACTAAGGCGCAAGGATTCCTTCAGGACCCAAACGCCGCTTTCCAACCGGAAAAGCTCACCCAGAAGCACTTTATCATCGAAACAAGATGGTGGCGCCCAGCAAACCGGCGGCCCGGTAGAAAATGTTCCACGGACCGGTACCGGTCCGGGGCCCGGTGGTTGGGGACCCCTGCTGTAGATGGTTCATTGAGTGGATTATCTGTCAGCCAGATTCTTCACACAAGATACTAATTTTTTCCTTGTGTTAAATATCTTTAAATTATTTTTGTTTTAGGGACATTGTTTTATATCCAGAGAATTCTCAAAAGTTGTGAATTGTTTTCATCAAGTTTTTTATAGCCCTTTGTAGTTCTGTAATAGTTAATACTTTTTTGGCTGCATAACATTTAAGTTTATTCCTCTCCACAGGTTTAAGACATGGCATTTGTTTATCATCTCAAACTTTTTCTGCCAATATTTCCAGAACGATGATGAATAGTTAGGAAGAAAGCTAAATAGTCCTTGACTTACGATTATCATTGGGAGCAGAATTTTGGTTGCTAAACAGTGTGATTGTTAAGCAGGTCATCAATCTCATTAAGTAAATTTGGAAAATCACAAACCGCAATCATTTGAGGACTATGCAAACATTATAAATGCAAATCAGTTGCCAAGAGCCCAAATTGGGATTATGTGATCATTTGGATGGTGTAAAATAACTTCATGAACACTTTCCTCAGTGCTGTCATAACTTCAAACCATTGTTAAGCAAATGGTCATGTCAAGGACTACTCGTATGCTTCTCTTGTTCCTTTAAGATGAACTACTGCAAAACTAACTACTCAAAGTTATCACAGACATTTTCTTTTTTTTTAAAGAATTTTTATTTTTAAAAACAAACATACACATACAAAACATAAAACCATCTTCCATTTTATATACATACAGTGTGTCAGTTGGTTACAAATCTTTTGTGCTATTCTTTTGTAGTCATTTACTTAAAATTATATCAATTTTCACATTGTCAAACTAACATATGCTTGTATATTTATCAGTTATTAATCATCCATGACTAAACTATTTATTTCATCATTTTATACGAGATGTTCCAAGTTTTATCTTAAAATTTATGTTATACTTTCAACCAACAGTTATATGTGTCTATATTATGTTTTATATCAATCTATTAAATTTCTATCACAAAATTATCTATTCTATTACATTACCATGTCTTTTTGTCTAACCATTGATAAAACAAATCCCATATCATATAAAATTGTTTATCTTCTTGTTCTCTAATTTCAAATGTCAATTTACTCATTTCAGCACAGTCCATAATTTTCTTAATAACTTCCTCCTGCATAGGTATTTTATCATTTTTCCAATTCTTAGCAAATACAATCCTAGCCACCGTTAGTACATTTACAATCAAATATTTCAACTCTTTGTTGTATATTTCTGGTATAATTCCCAATAAAAAGATCTCTGGTTTAAAGTCTATATGTTGTTCATCATTTTTTCCAACCATGTGTGGATTTTAGTCCAATATTTCTTTGCGTCTGAGCATGTCCACCACATATGGTAATATGAACCAGGTATCTGATGACCCTTCCAACATTTATCTGATTTATTCTTAAACATTCTCACAAGTCTCATCAGGTATAGATGCCACCTGTAAAACATCTTATACAAATTTTCTTTATATGCAGTTGACATTGTCATTTTATAATTTTGAGACCACAATTTTTGCCATTTTTCTAAATCAATCCCATATCCAAAAATTTTCCCCCAAGCAATCATCGTTTCTTTAACTTGTTCCTCCTCCAATTTAAATTCTAATAAGTGTCCATAAAGTTTTTTAATTACCTTTTCATCAGTACCCATCAAAATCTTATCTAAGTCAGTCAAGTTATCATAAATACCTTCTGCTTTAATATCTTCGTCAAATCTAGATTGTATTTGCAAATATGAAAAGCAATTCATTTTTACACCTTGTTCTTCCAACGTTTGCATAGATTTAAGTTCACCCTTTTCATTCAATATCTCACCATATCTGTTTGTTCCTTTTTATATATTATTGGATTAGAAAAAGCTTCAATGGTAGATATCCATAGTGGAATTTTTAAATAATATTGTCTTTTTATCTTTTCCCAATTCAAAAACAATGCCTCTCGAATATAACGTCTTCTAAAATACCCCTGTTTTAGTTCCGTTGTACCAAAGGAAGGCATGCCATCCCAACAGCAAGTCATGCCCTTCGAAGGTCAATAGTCTATTGTTCCTTAATGTTATCCATTCCTTTACCCACATCACATTTGTTGCTTGGTAATACAACTCCCAGTTAGGCAAGGCAAACCCTCCTCTTATTCTTCCATCTTGTAACAATTTTAATTTCTTGCTTTTTTGCCCTGCCAAATATATTTCAACACAATTCTATTTAAATCTTCAAAAAACTCCTTCCCTAGTCAAATTGGAATTGTCTGGAATAAATATAAAATTCTAGGCAATACGTTCATCTTAATTGTAGATTAATCTTAATTCTCCCAATCAATGATAATTGTAAGCTTCCCCATTTTGTCAAATCTGTCGCAATCTGCTGTTTGAGTGTAAAATAATTATCCTTCAGTGTACTACATCTTGATGTAATGCATATCCTGTCAAGCATCCAGAAAGCATCCATGATATCAATCACTCCGAGACGTTATCTCTCCAATTGATTTATTAGGAACAGATCTGGCATGTTCAAAAGCAATTTCCCAAGTGAAAGCTTTTTCGCGCGTTACACAGAATCCATCTTCTCTCCTCCCACTTCTACATTTCATAAATCACGAGAACCAATTAACTGCAACTGGAAATTCTTAATATGACACACAGAATAACCTTGAACTTTTCAACTCCTCTAACTCTAAAAAAAAATGTGGCAGCTGAATTTCAAAGCTGAGAGGCGTCCCCCCTTGAAAACTCCTCCATCTAAAAGAAAAGAAAAAAACACACATATAGGGGTTAATACATTGTCCTTAACCCCCTCTCCCCCCCCACGAGGACCCTTCAGTTTGTGGGGGAAATCCTCATGGAATTGGTTAACCAATGATCAGCATTAACATCCCAACTCTTTACCCAACTAG